ACAAAATTCCCTCGACACTTTCTGCAATATATCTACTTGAAAATTATTTAAGAGGGATTGTAATTCTACTTCTATTTACTAACATCATTCCTTGCATTTTAGTTTGCTTTGCATAGTCTGACAATTTATAATGAAGGCCAGTGTTCACCAGCTATAAATCAGTGACATGTACATACTGTTTGACCCACAAAAAGATTTCAGATACTGTATAATATTACCAAGTGTCGAGGGAATTATTTGTGGGGTTAAGTGAAGATCAAAGAAATCGACTTTGTAAAGGAGACCAACTGGAGCATCTTCCTACGTGAGGGGGAACCAGCTTCATCCAGTCATACCCAGCAGTAGTTTACTTACCACACTAGCAGTTATGTATATATACGCATGTGTGTCATAGTCTAGCATGTATACACTGTAAGGTATGTATATACAATCAGACAAAATTCGTGTCGCGGTTTTGTCCGAAGATTAAATGTAACTCGTGAAACATTATGAGAACCCCCCTACCACAAGGCAGAGCGCACCCTTAGGCATATGTTTTCACCAAATTCCACGGCACGACTTTTGCCTTTCATTGTACGCGTCCGTGTCACACTCTAGTCTGTGTGCATTTAGTGTTATCTGTCTGTCTGTCTGTCTGTCGGTCGTATACACGTCTCTGTGTAGGCCTTTACACCCCGCTATAAAAGTGACCAGTAATACAACTCCGAGGAGCACTTGTTATCTGCCAAACCTCACCACCCAAGGTCAAGCAGCTAACGGTAACTACTGTTCTAGTTCTCCCTTTAACAACACTAATTACTCTGTTTAATTTCTATGTTTATCCATAAATAATCCTTCACATAGGAAAAAAGAAACTACCACAATCTAGAAAATCATAAACGAATATTTACCGAGAAACTTTAAGCAGAAAAACATGGTTGACAACACAGGAGAAGTGAGGTCAGGGGTGAAGGCCAGATCAGCTGACCACAGTTCACAACACCACGCGCCATGAAGCAGTCTTGGGTGCTGCTGCTCCCTGTACGTCCTTCACCGTGTGCTTCCTGGTGTGGTAGTGGTGGTGATATTATAGTGTTGGTGGTATAGTGTTGGTGGTGTTTTTGTGGTGGTGGTGTTATTATAATGGTGGTGATGGTGATGATGGGTGGGTGTGTCCAGGTAGTGATGATGGGTGGGTGGGTGTGTCCAGGTGGTGGTGATGATGGGTGGGTGGGTGTGTCCAGGTGGTGGTGGTGATGGGTGGGTGGGTGTGTCCAGGTGGTGGTGATGATGGGTGGGTGGGTGGGCAGAACATACCTTACAAAAAACTCAGATCAGACAACAATGACCCTAAATGGATAAATAATTATTTAAAGAACATTATTGGCCAAAGGAAGGCTATAGGTAGAAGGATAAACCGTGGCGAAATTTACCTCAGGGAGTATTATAAGGTATTTGCCGGTAGGGTTAAGACCAAGATAAGAAAAGCAAAGAGGAATAATGAACTGAAGATAGCAAGGGAGGCGAAGACAAACCCCAAAGGATTCTACCAAATGTATCAAACTAAAACACGAAATAAGATTGGGCCAATACGTTCAGATACCGGCGAGCTAACTGATAACGACTGAGAAATGAGCAATAATCTGAATAAATATTTTTCAACAGTTTTCACCACCGAAAATTTAAACATGATACCCGAGGCACCGACTCTATTTAGAGATAGTGAAGAAAACAAATTAAGTGAGATAGTAGTGACTAGTAACGATGTTAATAAGCAAATAGACAAACTGAAGCCTAATGAGTCACCTGGTCCCGATGAGATATTTGCCAGAGTATTAAAGGAATGTAAGGAACAGCTTAGTATGCCCTTAGCAAAGTTGTTTAACATGTCCTTAAAAACAGGTGTAGTACCAGAATCCTGGAGGATAGCGAATGTAATACCGATTTTCAAGAAAGGGGGTAGATCATTATCTTCTAACTACCTCCCAATCAGTCTAACATCAATAGTAGGCAAATTACTAGAATCAATCATTTCAAACTCTATTCGAAACCACCTGGAGAAGCACAAGTTGATCAATGATTCCCAACATGGCTTCACTAGCAGGCGTTCATGTCTAACTAATCTATTAACATTCTTTTCATCAGTTTTCGAATCGGTGGACGAGGGGCACAATTATGATGTGGTATATCTCGACTTTAGCAAAGCCTTCGACAGAGTCCCCCACGAAAGACTAATTAGAAAGGTAGAAGCGCTTGGCATCAAAGGTAATATCCTTAAATGGATTAGGGCGTGGTTGCGGGACAGGAAACAGCGAGTGAGCATAAACGGCACTAAATCACATTGGAGCAACGTCACTAGTCGAGTTCCCCAAGGCTCAGTACTTGGACCATTATTATTTATTATATACATAAACGACACAGATATCGGCATAGACAGCAACATAAGTAAATTTGCTGATGACACTAAAATAGGACGTGTAATTAAATCTGACGAGGACTCTGCAAAACTACAGGAAGATCTAAACAAATTTTTCGAATGGTTGGAAAAATGACAGATGAAATTCAATGTGGACAAATGTAAAGTACTCAGTATAGGAGATGTAAACAGGGAAACCAGTTATCAGATGAACAACGATATCATTGTGAAATCCGACTGCGAGAGAGATTTAGGAGTAATGAGAAGTAGGAATCTTAAGCCAAGTAAACAATGTGTTTGTGCTCGTAACAAGGCTAATAAAGTACTTGGGTTCATACAAAGGAGTGTTAGTTACATGACTAGCGAGGTCATCTTAAAATTATATCTAGCTCTTGTGAGACCTCACCTGGATTACACAGTTCAGTTCTGGTCACCGTATTACAGAATGGATATAGAATCCTTGGAAAGAATCCAGAGGAGAATGACAAAACTAATCCCGGGCATTAGGAACCTTGAGTACAGAGACAGGTTAAAGCATCTTAATTTGCACTCCCTCGAGAGACGTAGAGTGAGGGGCGACATGATAGAGGTGTATAAATGGAAGTCAGGGTTAAACAAAGGGGACATTACAAAGGTACTCAAACTATCCAACCAGGAGTGAACTCGTAACAATGGTTTTAAATTAGACAAATTTAGATTTAGGCGTGAAATAGGTAAACACTGGTTTGGAAACAGTAGTGGATGAATGGAACAAGTTACCAAATAACATCATTAACTCAAACGCGCTGGATAGCTTCAAACATAGGTTGGATGCTTATATGAGCAATAGGGATTGGGTGTAAACGGGACTGCCCAGTATGGGCCAATAGGCCCGCTGCAGTTTCCTCCATTCTTATGTTCTAATGGTGATGATGGGTGGGTGTGACCAGCCTACTAAACCTGCAACTTGGTCAATTGTTTTATCGTTTCAAGAATACTCAAGATTATGTTTGTCTCTGAAAACCAGTGACAAGTTTGGTGTTCTTCCCTATTCAGAAAAATATTCAAAATCTTTCAGACTGACAGGAATACTGGGGATTGATTACCACAAAAAGTCTATTACAGTAATTAAACCCAAATAGATATATTACTTTCACAATTTTCCTTACAAATATTTTGCATGACTCAAATACCCGGTACTATAAAATGAACATATTGATAATCAGTAGCAAGAGTCCATAAGAGATGATAACAATGCTTTGATTACTTAAGTGAGCCACAGGACGAGGGTTACTGGAGTCTCCCCGAGAAGAGAGAAATAACTCGTTTTCTTTGCCTTCAGTTTTCTTGACGGAGTGACTTGGTTCTTTTTAGAATAGGCGAAAAATTAACGCTTTATTTATTGGTCAGGCAGTAAATGAGAACGCAAGGGCGGATCCAGAAATATCAATAGGGGGATCCAAGAAGTTGTTGGTGGGGGAACATAGCGAGCGCAGGGAACCCACCCAGCTGGTGGGGAGCTGTATGCTACCCCCTGGTAGATTTTTTTAAATCTGACCAATATCATGACCATTTTGAAGCCGTGTGCACTTGATATTAGGAGATATTCTTAAGTCAATAGAAAATACGTTTTACCATATAAAAATGCCTGAGTACAATACTGCATTAAAGAAAACAAGTGTTGGAATTTTCTGATGAAATTGGGGGGTCCGGACCCCTAGGACCTACCCCCCCCCCCTGGATCCGCCCTTAGAAAGGGGTTTCTTCTGCAAGTCTTAGTTACGTTATACGAATTAAATAAACACTCGAAATGGGTGTTGACCTTAAGTGGCAGTGTCGGAGTTTATAATACATCACTACACCAAACTACGTACAGAGTATAGTTAGGATACTCAAGGTTTGCTGATGTGGATGAAGGTCAGGTGAGGCTCGGCTGGTGAGTCCCTCCCTGATCGCGTCTTTTACTGAAGGTGGTAAGTGTTGTGTTTCTTTGGTCACGATCGTTAAGGAACTGACAATGGCGGGTAGTTTGACATTCAACGGTAGCTGGTAGGATGCGCGCGCAGACAAAGGAATGTAGACACCCGCAAGACTTATTTAAAATCAGGAGTAATTATTTACAGTTCAGGTAACTATTAAATATTACTTTAACTAATTATAACATAAATTAAATGCAGCATACGTATAACTCCCAAACTAAATTTCTTACATTGTTTCTATCGTTCTATTAGATTAACAGTTACGATAGGTGCGAAGGGAAGAACGAACATCCATGTCATTCATTGTCTTGAGTAAAATCGCTATAGATTGTAGGAACCCTTGGTGATGACTTTGTGTTTCTGAAGGTAAGTTGTCTGGCTTTAAAGTATGAAGCACTCAGATGATGAATGGAAGAGCTCATATAACAGTGCTAAATCTCTCTCACCAGCCGCACCTACAGCCGTGTGTCTACTAAGAATATAAAAGAAAGCTTCATCTTACCTTAAATGAAATCCACTTAAGAAAACAGGAAAATTTGATTCAAAATTAGTTTATTATTAACTTACTTGAGACCTTTTCAATAATTATAGGGTTGAAATCTTACACTCATCCACTTGTAAATATTCTTGTCTCATTTTCAGGTGGGGATTCTTCTTGTCCTGGTGCCGGGTTCAGCTGATAGCCGCCAGGTATAGTATGCTTGACTTATTACTGGTTGGCAAGTCGCTTAGTTGGTGTAGAATAAAAGTCATATGGATGGATGTCTTCCGAGTTTTGTCTTTTTCATTTTTGGCGTTATTGTTCAGAATATTAAGGATAAAGTACATGACTTCCATAATTCCCTCGCTAGAAGACGCCAAAATCTACCATGGTAACTCTCCCAGTAGATGACACCATAATGTACCATAACACTCCAGTAGGTGACACCATAATGTACCATAACTTCCCCAGTAGATGACACCATAATGTACCATAACACCCCAGTAGGTGACACCATAAAGTATGATATAAAATTCCGGATATAGCTTCTGGAGTAGCACTGTATTGTCCCGTCAGATTCTGAAGGACACGTACGGTAATTCCTCGTCCTCCAATATGCCGGGAGACTCCTCGTCCCCCAGTATGCCGGGAGACGCCTTGTCCTCCAGTATGCCCGGAGACTCCTCATCCTCCAGTATGCCGGGAGACTCCTCGTCCTCCAGTATGCCGGGAGACTCCTCGTCCTCCAGTATTCCGGGAGACGCCTCGTCCTCCAGTATGCCCGGCGACTCCTCGTCCTCCAGTATGCTCGGAGACTCCTCGTCCTCCAATATGCCCGGAAACGTCTCTCTCAACAGTATGCCCGGAAATGCCACATCCTACAGTATGGGTCAAGAATTACGGAACATTACTGCTGACGTCATGAACTCCCTCGGCAGGCAAGGCTTTCGGTATGTTATCCTAAACCAAACTGTGACGGGCAACTTAACAATAACACTCATGACCTAAATACAACTAAAACTCTCACTAATGTTTTGATATAATATAACACACACAAGGTACTCCAACAAGTCCAATAGGGGTTAAAAACTAGATCATACAATTATCTCGTAACCATCTTTTAAACAAGTCATTAACAGAGTGAAACCATTTAGTCGAAAACTATTCACCTCATTAACGACTTGTCTGTCCTGAAAACCTCCAAGTCACGTAAATCATCACATACTTACTTGACTGTGGAAATGCCATACAAAAACATTGATATAACTGCTACCTTTTGTAGTACTTAGAGGAAAATACTTTATATTAGCCTATACCTACGAAGGTCTACTGTACAGGGGTGCATGTGATCATCAGTTTAAAATAAATCGATGTATTATAATTTAGTATGATAGAGAATTATACGAGTATGAATGCGTATAACTGTATCGTGATATATTTGGTGTACAATATATGCTTCTTCTTGTTAAGCCATAAACATTAGCTTAAGTTTTATATAATTGGATCATCACGTGTATACCTGTATATGGTACGTGTGAATAACAGCTACTTTTCAATGTTAAAATTTTGTGAACTATGAGTATATAAACGTTATATTTCAAACAGGCCTTAAACTAACATTATATGAGACTGCACCAACTACATGACAAACAACTCAAGATTACATGTATAACGCCTGTTCCTTCACTCCCTTGGTAGAGTTTAGCATTTATTGTCTCTTGGTAGTTTCAAACCTTTGTTCCTCTCCACCAGGTGTCCTCATGTATGCAGGGAGGTGATAACTCGTATTTGCCGGGCTGAGTGTTCACGTCGTGGGCTGTCAAGGCTGGCGTGTCGACTTATCTGTTATTCGTCTGAGCTCACTTGCTGCCAGTGTCCTGAAAAGTGTCACAACCCACTGGTGAAGTGTTACCAGGCCTGTCAGGAACACAATACTCCCTGCAAGGATGGCTGCATCTCGACAGTGGAAACCTGTTGTGATGTGAATATAAATAATGACGTTATATCATAGGAAAAAGTAACAGCTTTTCTCATGATGGACAACAACTCTTCTAACAGCCTCACATTGCCTCTAATATTCAGCAGTTATATATTAAAAGGTGTTGATGGATACGGTTGTTGTTATTGTCGTGTATTAAGTGTTGAGGGGAAATAATTGTGTCTTGTCTTGGATGCTGTATTGAATAAGGGGTCAATTCTGCTTTCCTGACTACCAACATTTAATTTTCCTGTAATTTTATAAGATTTAATGAGAACTTTCTGTAACAGTAGGGTTTAGTAAAGAGTAAATAACGCAAAATTGTGGTTGATTAATTTGCCTACGTTTATTTAACTTTCATAAAGACTAGGACCATCAAACTGTGGTAGTGTGGTACTGTACCTGGAAAACTATATATATTTATTTATTTATTTCAAAACATTCCTTTCCTCATGTACTATAAAGTAAAGTCAACGGGATGAATGAAATAAGTCTTACTTCACTATTTCCTTAACAAATGTGTAGAGTTGTGACACACGATCAAATTACCCTCGTTTAACTTGAGAGACGGCTGTCAGTCAAAGTAATCCTGGTTAGATATGGGCAACGTTCACACTAGATAATGTAACAGTTATGAATGGTTAGCTGACATGGAAGTGTGTAGTGAGCGGCGAGAGGTCTCACGTGGGACACCTTCTGGCCTGACTCTATTAAAAGAACACGCAATACACACACACACACTCTCTCTTTTACATATATACGCATAAACGCACATATTCAACAAACAAGCATATATACTTTCACTTTCACAGACACAGACAGCCACACACTTGTACGAACACACTGAACTGCCACACGCATGTACACATACTAGAACGTACACTGTGTACGCAAGCAATCATACATCAGCATAAATCAATATGCACAGGCACACTCGCAAATACACTCAATGATACATGATCACACACACACAGTTTTCATTCCTCTCCAACCAATAAATATAATAATGGTTGTCCCTCGTGTGACGAGGATGGCCGGCCCAAGGGCCACCTCGTCGTGAATTTGTTTAAAGTGTAGAAGTTGTCGCCAACACAATAACCACACCCTAAGTTAACGAGCTGCATAACCCAGTGTCAAGGAATAGTCCGAGGAGACCGGACAGCACGCCAACTCCACTGGCTAATCGTTACCCCGGAACACGATCCGCAAATCGATTAACATCCAGGTCCCCAATTACTGCTGGGTAGACAGAGGCAAATGGCGTAAATGAACTTGCCCATAGTTTCACCCTGAACGGGAATCGAACCCGGGTCCGCTAACTTGCGATGCGAGCTTGCTGACCATTACACCAATATTAAACGCCTGCATACGGTGTGTAGGGTGAGATGTGTTCTGAGTACAGTGTTTGTGTAGGGTGTGTTGTGTTATAAGATCATTGTTTGTGTAGGATGTGTTGTGTTCTGAGGTGAGAGTAATGGAAATTTGTCTTGTTGTCTCGGGAGTGGAAAGGGTCTTAGTGCTGGGAGGCGCCGCTACTGTTCGTGATAGACGCCAATATTTCTCCCATGCTTCTGTTCGCCTGCGGCAGAAGTACCATATATTCCCAGTGGCGCTGTGTGAAGCAACAGCACCTCACACCTCCCTTCACCATCCTCTTCCAGGGAACGCGACGAACTGGCTCTCGCCCCTTTCCAAATGTGCATGTTGTACCGAAGTGTTGGACACATGCAAACACGTCGTCCTAGTGTGACATATGAACCTCACCCACAAAAGTGTGTGTGTGTGTGTGTGTGTTGTGATAAAGTTAATGTGTTACAAATGTATAATAAAAGGCAGCACGAAATATATTATACACAGTAAATATCTAACGAGGTCACCTACTCAGCCTACCAACACACTGCCACTATCCTACTGTCATTTCCCTGATAGTAGTTCGTCCTGTGTGGGAATGTCGCTGTACATTAGGAAGCTCTGCCCCTTGTTGGTGTTTTCTCGGGAAATCATCACAACATAAGGTAATTCACTTTCCGTCAAGTGTGTTGTTTGGTTTATTACAATAGTTTATTCCATAACCTTTAAAACTTGCAGGGGACACTATAGTGGTATGTTGGACAACTCGGACTCACTTCTAGAATGTCTTATAACAAGGCTGCGTGTCTCCAAGAGCTTCATATCGTTGACTTTTTTTAACAAACCTAACAGCAAGACTGTCGCAAATTCATGGAAATCGACCAGAGAAAACCTACCTGTGAAAACCTGGATTAAAAGTTCTTATTGTTCAACTTAACACAAGAAGCACATGTTCACAGATAAAGAAACCCAGCCTGTGTGTGTAAATAATATTCCATCTTGAGGACCACTAGCCGAAACCTGATGATTGCTCTATACTCATTATCCCATTATATATTTTTATCTTAATTCTGACATTGTAAAAACGCTTACCTGATATCTAGAAGGTTCTTCATTTAATAACAGTTTGGTTTCTCTGTAAAGATTCCCATCATCCATGAAAACGACATGAAAGCACCAATGTGGGAGTGATGAGCGCGGCACTGAGGAGTCATGTGGGTCAACTTTGGCTTTTTCGACTTCAGTGAAGTGTTCACCTCCTGGCCGCGGAGGCAGTTGTTGGCGAGCTTCGTCTACCCACCCAGGACGCATTCTAACGACCTCGTCAAGGACTGAGTTAATCACCTTTCTCAGATACTGGGATTTGAGCCAGGATATACTGCACACCCTCGCTGAACTTGACGGGAACAACACAGGGTTTTCACACATCTAAATCTTACAGAATAAACGAGTTCCCGACAGCAGTGTCCTCGGGCTGGTCACTGTTATCACTGGATGCCCTGGCGATGTCTTCTCTTGTAGGGTACTATTTTGGATGTGTTTTGTATTATACAGTATAAGTGCTGATTCAGGTGTGATGTTCTTAAGTGTGGCAGGTCGGTAAGGGGTGTTCACACCCAGCATCCTCCGGGCCAACTCCCCAAAATTCCACCTTTGAGAAACTCCTGGGGCACAAGTCCCTCTCTATACCAGAGTTCACTTCCCTGTCTTCAAACTGTAGCCGTAAATAGGGAACATACATACAGACAATGTGCTTTAAACACATACACACTCATACATACACGTATATATATATATATATATATATATATATATATATATATATATATATATATATATATATATATATATATATATATATATATATATATATATATATATATATATATATATATATATATATACACGGTAAACTCCTAAGAAAACTATTTGCTCCGGATAACAATTTATTTACAAAATATTCATACTTTTTAAAGTATCATATTATATAAACAATAGGGAGTACACTGTACAATACCTGTACCTCCCCTAAAACAGGAACAATGTAAGTGAGCAAACAAACATTATGTTTAACAGTCTGGCTTATATAAGAGAGACTTCCTGAGAGATGAACTGTACCTCTCAGGCTATCAGTATACTGTACTACAACAGGTGAAGTTAAGCCAGCTAAGTAGATAGTACTGTCGAAGGGTACAAGAAGAGGAAAGTCAAAGAGGGAGGTAAGACGATCCCGCCTTACATATGAAGAGAAATATGCATTAACAAACCATCCACGGTGGAAATATGGACACAAGGCAACAGAAAAAGAAACAAAAAGCAAATGCTTAAGTATCGCAGGATGGAGGTGGAGTTCTTGATGAGCTGGGTGGACTTGCTCACTGAGCGGGCCCTTAGCCGTAACCCAGTTTGCTTTGGAAGATTTCCAAGTCCTGTATTGACGAGTTTCAGAAAGATCCATAGCTAGATGTTATTGTGTTTTCGAAAATTCTTTGGTTAGAGATCAAGCTCTGCTGGAGAGCATCTTCACTACTGCTATGGGCAGGTGCTCGAGTATTCTGGAAGGAGTTTAGTCTTGCGAACGGAGTATTATGGAAGGAAGCTTGTGTGGTGACCGGGGTGTATTGAATGGCTACTTGTCTATCGTCTGGTTTGTTTTGGAGTGAGACTAATCTACCGAATGGAGTATTTTCAAAGGAAGCTTGAATAGGAACTGGAATAATTTGGAAGGACTTTTGGTTATCTGTCGAAGGATTTTGGAAAGAGCTTAACCTAGCAAATGGAGTATTTTGGAAGGATCCTTGAATAGGAATTGGAGTGTTCTGGATGGCTCTAAGGTTGGGAGTTGCAGTATTATGGAAGGATCTATGGTTAGGTACTCGAGTGTTCTGGAAGGTTCTCTGGTTGTGGTCTCGAGGATTGAGAAAAGATTTTTGACTGGAGGCAACAGTAGTTTGGAGGAATATCTGATTGGGGGCAGTTGTATTTTGGGAGGTTATCTGATTAGGGCCTAGTGTTTGGCTGGGATCTGAAGTACTTTGAAGCGATGTTCCGTTTGTGTCTTGACCATTTTGGAAGGATCTTTGGCCAGAAGCTTGAGTATTTTGGAAGGACCTTTGGCCAGAAGCTTGAGTATTTTGGAAGGATCTTTGGCCAGAAGCTTGAGTATTTTGGAAAGATCTATGTCTAGGGGTTGGGGTATTTTGGAAGGACCTTTGGCCAGAAGCTTGAGTATTTTTGGCCAGAAGCTTGAGTATTTTGGAAGGACCTTTGGCCAGAAGCTTGAGTATTTTGGAAGGACCTTTGGCCAGAAGCTTGAGTATTTTGGAAGGACCTTTGGCCAGAAGCTTGAGTATTTTGGAAGGACCTTTGGCCAGAAGCTTGAGTATTTTGGAAGGATCTTTGGCCAGAAGCTTGAGTATTTTGGAAGGACCTTTGGCCAGAAGCTTGAGTATTTTGGAACGCCCTTTGGCCAGAAGCTTGAGTATTTTGGAAGGATCTTTGGCCAGAAGCTTGAGTATTTTGGAAGGACCTTTGGCCAGAAGCTTGAGTATTTTGGAAGGACCTTTGGCCAGAAGCTTGAGTATTTTGGAAGGACCTTTGGCCAGAAGCTTGAGTATTCTGGAAAGATCTTTGGCTGGAGGCTTGACTATTTTTGGAAGAGCTGTGACCTGGGGCTTGAGTATTCTGGAAGGATCCATGGGGTGCTTCTGAGGTGGGTTTAGTGTTTCCTTGGCTAAGAGACGGGATGAGTTGGAGTGTTGCCTGTCTAGGAGCTGAACTGTTTTGAATGGATACTAGACTAGGAATCAAGGTGTTTTGGGCGACGTCTTTGCTAGAGGCTGGAGTTTTACTGAAAGATCCTTGCCTTTGGGATGGGTTTTTCTCCAGAGTTCTTTGGCTTGGGACCACTGTGTTTTGGACGGTTCCTTGAGTAGGTGACGGAGTTTTTAAGAATGATCCCTGGTTGTGGACCGGAGTACTTTTGAAGGATTCTTTGCTAGGCTTTGGGGTTGGATGTGAGTATCTTTGGTTAGGAGCCGAGGCTGCCTGGGAAAATGTTTGTCTTGGAGGTGAAATAAGAAGTACAGACCTCTTGCTTGGGGACGGATCGGGATACAAAGATCCTTGATTACCGGATGAAACAGGGTGGAATGTTGCTTGGGTAGGGGTACTGGAAAGGCCGGTTAGGAAAGATCCTTGATCACGGGCAGGTCGCGAGTACCCTTGACTAGGTGCTGGACCGCTTGGTGCAAAAGAACCTTTACCAGAGTCGCCAGACAGCTGCGCCTCGCCCTCGAAGGTGACGGTGGGATGGAATCCAGACTGGTCCGCGAAGTAGTCAACCATCATGCGACGAGAGTCCGGCAGCTGCACATAATAACTGTGGACGAGTGGAACATATACAGTGTACTGGAGGATTCTGTATTGCTTTTAAGACTATCACGACCTCTGATGGCGCTATAACTGTAATTGGGATGCAGACGGGATAAAACCACCAGGCCCCTGACCGCCGCTCCCACAGCTAAGCTACAATGCCTATGGCAGTAATCGATTGTTTACTTTTATCTGAACTAGATTTATATATTTCTTGGCTAAGCAGTGTAGAGAATGTTATTTATTCACACTTTGCTTTTCCCCTCAAGACGTTACAGTGGGAGGTTATTTAGCATCAATAAGTGGCTGACCAGGGAGGCCAGATAGCTTCAACTTGCACTCTTGATTTGAGTAAATATCAACATAAGGATTACAAACAGACAAGATAAAAGAAGTGTTAATCTAATGTTAAAATACGAGCAGAAATACTCATAGAACTAGTTCCACTCTTCCCTATGGCGGGTCAATAACGCACAGGTTTCTGCTCATCAGTATATAAACACCTCATTGACGTGTGTGTGTGTGTGTGTGTGTACTCGTGTGTGACATGGTTGAAATGGTTGTGCTGTAGTGACGTGCTGTTGGGGGACTGTACACTAATCCCTGTTTCTAGTGACCGTAGACTCAGTGACCGTAGACTCATGGTTCTAGTGACCGTAGACTCACCTGCCCTGGGTGTTGTCGCCGTCCCTCTGCTCCTGGTGACCGTAGACTCACCTGCCCTGGGTGTTGTCGCCGTCCCTCTGCTCCTGGTGACCGTAGACTCACTCTGCTCCTGGTGACCTCCTGCCCTGGGTGACCGTAGAAGTTGTTTGAGGGAGAGTCGTTGACGTCCCACTGGAAGTTGTACTGGGCGGGTGCTGAGGGGAACCCACCACCACCTCCCTGCCCGCCGCCGCCGCCGCCACCCTGGCCGATACCTCCTTGCCCGGCGTAACCACCATCGGGTCTCGCCAACACCGTCACCGTCACCGACAGAACCAACGTCACCGTAGCGCCCCACTATAAGAAAAATAACGTAGTTTGTCCTTCTAGTTAATAATACACTTTACGAGAGGATATACTGAAAACTCGTATCACACAATATTCCGTATAAGCATTCCTCATGGAGTCACGGTGCTCTTAACAATAACGTTCGCTCCAATATACCAAAAATGTGTGTCGGTAACGTTGGAATTATTATCTGTAATTCAGTATGTATCATCATATGACAATTGTGAAGACCAATAGACCACCTGGACTCATATCATTTTAATAATTACTATACGACACACAATACAACCTATCATTATTACGACCTCGCTAATATACATTTATTGACTTAAAACAGCATGATGTGTTATAATTCTAGGGTGATTGACCAGATACCTGCATTGCTGTTGGTCGTCTGGAGGCGTGAGCTGTACTTCTGGCTGGTTGCTCACGATCTGTCTTATATAGTCTCCCCTTCCCTCCAGATACTATGACGTCATGGCGTGCCAAAGACGTCACTCTCTCACCAGTCTTCAGCTCGTTTCTCACGTGACTCCCACACTATCACGCCCGTCTTTCTTCCCTCTAAAATATAGTTAAGAGTCGAGTATTAGACTGTCATTATACTTGGAGATATTGTATGTGTACCTTCATGTCCTCACTCACTCACTCACTCGTGTTCACAGAGACATAATGTACAGTACATACGCATTTATTAACTTGGTACACTCGTTACAGAAAGTATCAGCAGGGAGGGGTCCGATGGATTTCCAAATGAACACTGTGACTCCTGTTGTCTCGGTAGGGTTGTCAAAATCCTCCGTCCGTTGTGTCATATTGTCTAGCAAAAAAATGTGTCGATACTTTTTGTAGCGCGTGTACATTACAGATAAACTCGCACAGTCTTATACATGATGGTATACACATAACACGCACATACACACAAGTACATATACACACACATAACACGTACACACACGTACACATACACACATACATGTACACATACACACACATAACACGTACACGCACGTACACACACACACACACACACACACACACACACATATATATACATGTACACATACACACACATAAACGTACATATACGCATACACACACATACACACACACACAAATAAAAAAACGCTCACGTGTAAACTCACTGATAACACACATGGTCAACATCTACATGGCCCTTCCACGGCTAATCATGGCCTGATCGTGGCTAGTCATGGCCTTTCCATACTTGCGAGTGGCTTGTCACATTACTGCCACGGCTGTTCACGCCTGGCGTATGTTGTTGCGAAAAGAGGACTCCCGGCTACCCCTCGGGGCTCTGTTTATCTCAAGAGAGAGGGAAGTGAGTTTGTATACGTCTTCCTGGATGGTTGAGTGTCAGTCAGCCTTACTACTATTATCTCTACTACTACTACTACTACTACTACTACTACCACTACTACTACTACTACTACCACTACTACTACTACTACTACTACTACTACTAATAATAATAATAATAATAATAATAATAATAAATTATCAAAGAAGAAGGATCAACATTAAAGTGTAGGTCATCTGTACAACTAACTGAGGTCTCTTGCAGGATTCTTTGTTTATATTAACCGATATGGAGGGGGGGGGGTGGTGTGGGTTGGAGAGAAAAGTTATTAAATCTATTCAATGACTTTTCTTTAAAATGTCACGAGTTACAGGTGGGGAACTGCCTACTCAGACGGTCGAACCTGTAATGTGTTGACCATGAACGCAGTGGATATACCATTTGATTTAATAATAGCGTAAACAACAAACTGAAAGTGATCATTGACCCAAAACAACCTGTCAGTCAAACATGGGATATAAAAGGTCAGTATTATCCCCGAACTCGGCCAAAATATCTATGATTCGAAGATATTATACATTTACTGTCGACACGAAAATCTCCCTAAAGTTCTGTGATATGGAAACGATATTTAATTGTCACTCGTTCATTTTGACCAAGGACAGATGACAAAGCCATGAGAAGCTTGTTTCCAGTAGAGTCAGCAGCTTCTGGGGTTCTTAGGGCCAGGTAGTCACCCATCCAAGTACTGACCAGACCCAACGTTCCTTAACTTCGCTCTATTTCTGGTATTATTTGCTTTTGTTTGTTTTATGCTTGATACAAAACAAAGAAATAATGAAAAAAATTCATTCGAAAGCGAATTTCATCTTTAGCTTCGACCTTTTATGATAAGTATTTAAAAACTTCTAACATCCTCTCTGAAGTGCTAATGCCTTGAAATAATTTGCATTTTGATAGTCCAGATATTTAACATTATTTTAGATAATAACAAGTCTGCTTACCAACTGTGAACACATTTAGTTTGAATAAATGGACAGATACACGAACCTTTTCTATAAACCAATCAGCAATTTTTACGGGCCAGGTTAGCGTAGAAATAGCATAGTCCGAACATAGCGCCTAGTTCGTCTTTCGCTCATGTTGTCTGCGGTTCGTGTACATGGCCATCGTCTGTGAGATGGAATTCAGCTCTCAGTTACGCATCATCGTCCTTGACAGTATAAAACTAGAGTTATAAGCCTGAGCAACACGTCATACTTACCATGATTCTCTCACTTGAGCTTGTCTGCTCCGTCACTCTTATATGACGACTGTTGTACCTGACTGACACCAATTACGTCAACCTGTGGCGTAAAACTACATAATCAAGTGACTGGTTTATAGCGAAGTTTTGGCATTGGGTCTTCCCTATCCTGAATAATGGAATGCAAATCAAATGTCTCTAGTCTCAATGGGCCCACGAGTACAGGGTATCATTAAAGCTAGTATTTGCTTAAGTCTCTCATACTATCATTAATACTTACCATCTTTATCTACACTATACATATAACATAAACGAATTATATAATGTTAATTTTCATACAGTAATATATGGGTGTTTATTGATGTTATTTTGTGTAAATTTTCACGTTAATTGTTATTTTTTATCAATGTTTGTAATGTATCAGTAATTATTGTAGGTATGTGTAATATCGGTATATCTTGATGTTAACTTCAGAACATTGTTAGTGTCCATTGATGTTAAAATGAGTACAGTGTTGTTGTTAATAGTCTTTATAATCTACACAATGTTAATCCTGATTCCGTTACAAGATACATAGATAGGTGAGGTACTTTCCATCACAAGGTACAGAGACAGGTGAGGTACTTTCCATCACAAGGTACAGAGACAGGTGAGGTACTTTCTATCACAAGGTACAGTGAGAGGTGAGGTACTTTCCATCACAAGGCGTGGTCAACAGAGGGAGGGAGAGAACTACCGCACTTGTCTCACCTCACCGCTCTCAGCTCCCCTTCACATGCATAAGAAACCTAATCATAGACGGGAGGAGCCACTGATGTGTGTGTGTGTGTGTGTGTGCTAGCACCAACTCTCTTTTCCTTTTTCTTGGCTACCTTCCCTACTCGTGCCAGTGCTAATTTATATAGCGGGGTGGACATCCAGTATCGGATGATGGTAGTTTTCAACATAAGACGACTCCAGGCAGGAGCAAAGGTGTCGGCCGCTTCCATCACTGAACTTCAGGATGCAGACGACCTCACCCTCGTCGCTTACACTGAACGTGACCTACAGGATGTGTATACACACTTCAGCCTTGAGATGAATGTATGTAAGACTCAGATTTTCTTCCAGTCTGCCCCTTGTTCAGCCACACCTCCACCATCCATCCATCTTAACGGTACTACCCTCTTTAATGTTACCCACTTTCGGTATCTCGGCTCCCACCTGTCCACCACCGCGGACATCGATAAAGAGATTTAATATCCCAAACCTCTGGCAGTCTCCGTAGCCGTATCTTCAACTCTAGGGAGCAGAAATTATCTAAAAGTTGCACGAAAAAGGTATAAGCACTATCAATAGTTAGTTACTCTACTTGCATGTACACAGAGACAAGATAACCACGAGTCGTATTAGATAAGAACATAAGAATGGAGGAAACTGCAGCGGGCTTATCGGCCCATACTGGGTCAACCAACCATCCAGCCAATGTTTGAAGCTATCCAGCGTATTCGAGTTAATGATGATGTTTGGCAACTTGTTCCATTCATCCACTACTCTGTTTCCTAACCAATGTTTACCTATCTCGCGCCTATATCTAAATTAATATAATTTAAAACCATTGTTACGAGTTCGCTCCTGGTTGGGTACTTTAAATACCTTTATTATATCATATTTGTTTAGCCCTGACTTCCATTTAAACGACTCGATCATATCGCCCCTCACTCTACGTCTCTAGGGAGAGTTCTCTGTGAAACACGAATATGGGCTTATTGATTTATTATCACTTCAGTAGCCTTTGGTGAGTCATGATCAAATCCTCTTTATTTATCTTTATTTACTGTATCTTTCTCTGCTGTGTGGTGATGATGGCAAGTTAGCGTACACTGACCACTTGGCCCGTTCACACCTTCACATGACCTCTTACACGGGGAACCTTCATCAGATTAACTTATCACCGGTCTCGTCACTTGTCTGTTGATGGAGGAATATATGAAGTCCGACAGAAGGGTTGAGTCTAACATGGAGAAGTATAAGGAGGAAACACAACAGCACAGGGGAGTTATATAGACGAGTTTAGCATCATCTTTCACGGCCCATCAGCCAGCTTCCTCCCCTCCCATATACACTACTAACTGTGGTGGCTGTTAGATAAATTAAGTACGTAAATCAGACTTCATAACACACTCCTAAGGATCTTTGGCATCACATCACCTGTCGTGACTCATGGAGGAGATGAACGAGAAAGGGATTCATATGAAGGATTTCTTTAGGGAACTTATCAATGTTTTATAGGTTAATAAACAAAGATTCATTTCTAAAATTTTTATTAATTCGGTTTTTGATCACAGTTCAGTAAATCAAAAGTAACAACAATACAAATAACAACATAAAAGGTTAACTTTGTAAAGACGTGTAGCCCACACCTGAGCCATATACTGCCGCGGACAAAAATATTCAAACCCAAATCCACAATGCCAGGGTTTAGATGTATCAGCAAGGAACTACCCGAGGTTAGGAAGGCATACTTTCACAGGCACTTCTCTGTGAATAAACGGAAATACAAAAGAAGACATAAACCAAATAATCAAGATGAAGTAAGTTGAATCTGTCTTCATGTTTTACCGTAAGTATCAGAAATTTGTGTCTCAGAGTGATAGATCTTGACTGCAGGGAGGTAAAACTTGGAGGGGATTTGACTAGAGTGTTATTTTCCTGGCTGGCCGTAGGATTTTGAAGGGGTGCCGCCAGAGGGACCTGCAGCCCCTGAACTAGATGGCCCGCTGGGAAACTGTGCCTCGCCTTCAAAGATCAAGATAGGGTGGTAGCCGGTCTGGTCTGCTGTGTAATCCACCCTCAGCGTCCGGGTGTCAGGCAGCTGCACGTAATAACTGTAAAAAAACGGAAATGTGTATCGTGTAGAAATTATTTAGCGAGGAATATTGTTGTCTCATGACCATCTGTTGTCCTCATGCATAATATAAGAACTAATAAGAAAACAAGTCAATAGTAAGGCTGCGAGTCACGGTGAATATAACGAACGAGGAGAGTGTGTGATGGTTCCTTAAAACTGTGATAACAAGAGAGTACATAATCCACAATAAAGTTAATTTTTTATCCTTGTTAAATTACTATTTGGGCACGATTCATTGCTTTTAAAGAGTAAATAAAATAAACTGAAAACCGATTAGAAAAATATCCAAAAACAGTGAGACGACAGAACACGACATTGTCTTTCTTACACTCAGACAATGTCTTCTTCTCCTGAGCCAAGTACCAATATCATTAGAGCTCCTCTGACGTATTGTGTGGAGACGCGAATCAGAGGAACGTGAGGAGGTAAAGTTCTCAGCATTAATATTAATATCAGAACTAACTAACCATTAAGGGAAGCACAATGTAAAACAAAGGCAGAATTATGGCTATTTTATGAGAACATCTCCATTTGCCTACTACTATGAGAGTTTGATTTATATAATCTTCTCACAATCTGTATGCTTTTGATATAGTGGAGGAAATGTTCTCAGTCCTGATTTTGTGCTTGCGTGCGTGCGACATGGAAAAAAAGGGACTGTTGAGGGGGGGGAGGGGTGCGTGTTGCCAGGTTCCACTAGAGGTAAAACAGCGCTATAGTGATTTTTTTCCAATGCTCGGTGAGGTGTTGTTGGGGTGCGTGTGACTGCTGGAGTGTTGGTTCCTCTGCGTTGTGTTGCTGCGGCCTCTACGCGTAATAGGTTTATTTTGTGGTACCATAAGATGTGTATACAATACATGACTTGTTTTAATGTCCTACCGCTGGCGTGTTTATCTTATATATCAACTTATTTGTGAAGGGATCAGCCTCGACTCACCTGCCCTGGGTGTTGTCCCCATCCCTCTGCTCCTGGTGCCCGTAGAAGTTGTTTGAGGGAGAGTCGTTGACGTCCCACTGGAAGTTGTACTGGGCGGGTGCGAAGACATCACCACCACCACCGCCGCCGCTCACACCACTGGACCCTGGGGTGCCGTAGCCCTGAGGACTTGCCCACGTCGCCACCACCGCCGCCAGGGAAAGCATCAGAGTCATCGCCTGTTGGGGAGAGACCCGATGGCAGGGGGTTAAGTGAGTCAGGTAACGAGCGTCGTCCAGTCACTGAACATCAGGTATCACAGAAGAAAACTTTTAACCGTGAACACCTCAGCGAGACTGACAAACGTTCTGGGAAAGCTTCGTCCTCATCAGTGGAGGACAAAGTTTAACCTCAAGCTTACTGACTCTCTTGTGATGTGCACACAACTTATTCACACTTTTAGAAAGTCAATATTAATGTATCATTTGGATCCATACATGAATCACAGCAATGTAAACATAGCTCAGTTATTTTTGGTACATCTAACGTGAGACTAACATGTTAACTTTTATCGGTTATCAGTAAGACTATTGTATAAAAAAATAACTCTTCATTTAGAATTTCCTTTCGTGTTGTAGAGACAAGTACAGCACCTTCATGGTTGTGTCGTAATGGGAGGGGAAGCTGAAGTGGTGTTGGGGCAGTCGTTCAGGGTTATATATATATGACGGAGGCGCTGAAGGGTGCGACCACGTCACCATAACATGTGACGTCATCAAAGCACCACCACGTGACCAGGTAGGTGTAGTAAACCGTTTATATGAGAAACATTAAAGAGAAATGATCAAAAGTGAGCGATTTTCGTGTGACAATTAGAAATGAAGTTAACATTATCATACCTGAATGTAATTACTGTGAACAGGAAGAATGATGATCGTACGAGAGGGAACACAACTACGCGAAGTTAGTGAGTGAACGATCGTTTGGCGTTGTTCACATGAATCCTCACCTTGGACTGGAAGCTTACCGTTGAAGTTAAGAGTCTATGGGTATTTAAATCACTGTTCATTATCCCTACGGGTCTCTCTCTCAACACACCATGGCCCAGTTCTTCACACCCCTACCCTTTCTTTGCCTACAACTTTGTTTTTTTTCTCTCCATCCTCCCTCTTTCTCTCTTCTCTTTTCTATTTCTACATTTTTATCTCTCCTGCAGTCCTTTGTTTATCTCTCTGCTTGACTATATCTATAACCAGTGCACACACAAACACACGCACACACACACACACACACACACACACACACACACACACACACACACACACACACACACACACACACACCCTTCATAGGGTGAGAGCGTCGGCGCTGCCCATGGTCTCTTGACCACGGAGACAGCTGCCAGCCTGGTTTAGAACATAAGAAAATAAGGAGTCTGCAATAGGCCGGTTGGCCTGTGCATGGCAGCTCCTGTCGAGAGTTACTACCACTCTCTATCATCCATGAATCTATCTAGCCTCCTTTTGAAACTTTCCAGCGTTCCAGCACTTACTACAAAGTTGCTAAGCTTGTTCCACTCGTCCACCACCCTATTTGTGAACCAGTTCCTTCCTATCTCCCTCCTAAACCTAAACTTATCCAACTTAAATCCGTTGCTTCGAGTCCTATCCTGCTCGGATATTATAAGAACTTTATCTATATCCCCTTTATTGATTCCTTTCACCCACTTAAATACTTCTATCATATCTCCCCGCACTCTTCGTCTTTCTAGGGAATGCAAGTTAAGTTTCTTTAACCTATACTGATATGGAAGGTTTCTAAGTCCCTGAATCATTTTTCGTCATTCTTCGCTACACCGACTCTAGTGAATTGATATCCATTCTATAATAAGGGCACCAGAACTGAACCGCATAATCGAGGTGCGGCCTGACTAGCGCAAGATATAGTTGCAATAAGACCTCTGCACTCTTATTACTTACACTTCTAGATATAAAACCCAATACTCTGTTCGCCTTATTTCGAACATTAACGCACTGTTTTCTAGGCCGTAGGTCCGGACTTACAAGTACCCCTAGGTCTCTTTCACAAGTCGACTTCTCTAGGTTGATGTTGTTAAGGCTGTATACATTGACAGTATTTGTTCTTCCAATATTAAGTACGCTGCACTTGCTGGTGTTGAATTTCATTTGCCATTTTTCAGACCACCCCTGCAGTTTATTTAGATGAGAAGCCAAGAAAGTCTCCTAACTACATCAGGAGAGAAATGAGGACTCCCTACTCCACCCAGGTGAGGAACTATGAATTCCTAACTACATCACATAAGGAACAAGAACCATCTCCAACACCCTGTGTGAGCTGGAGGACCTACCCCGACCCCGTGGTGGATCTGCAGCTGTAGTGAGGTAGCGGTTTAACACCCAGGTATGAGGCAATGGCCATCCAGACAGTGGGCGCCAACATCACGTCACAAGGATGTTTACAAGTCCAGCTCAAACATTACCAGATTTATAGTTAATCTATATGTTGACTCTTTGTTTCTTATATTTTTGTATTGAAAACTTTTGTCGATCAAGTGACCCACTCCCCGCTTCCACCATATGTAACCTATCACTTCTGTTCATTGTATATTGTCAGCCTTCGGGCTGCCAAGTTATCTTAATGAACCGTTAATTATTATTATTATTATTATTGTTATTATTATCATTAATATACACACACACACACACACTCACACACGCGCACGCTCGCGCGCGCGCGCGGAGATGGAAAATGGTCGCTGTTTAACACAAAGTTACAGAGGCATAGCTAAGTAGACGTTTAGTGCATAGTATATCGTGCAACTCCTGTGGTCCTCTCAACACGCCAGCCAGGCCACACTCACCATAACCTCGACCATTCTAAAATGTAAAATGAAAGGAATTTTTGGATATTCTGCAAATCCTCGCTTTCCTTATCGTCTCTTCTCTGATCATAAGAACATAAGAAAATAAGGAATCTACAATAGGCCACTTGGCCTGTGCATGGCAGCTCCTGTCCAGAGTTACTACCACTCTCTATCATCCATGAATCTATCTAGCCTCCTTTAAAAACTTTCCAGCACTTTGTAGTAAGTGCTGGAACGCTGGAAAGTTTTAAAAGGAGGCTAGATAGATTCATGGACGATAGAGAGTGGTAATAACTCTCGACAGGAGCTGCCATGCACAGGCCAAGTGGCCTATTGTAGATTCCTTATTTTCTTATGTTTTTATGTTCCAGCACTTACTACACAGTTGCTAAGCTTGTTCCACTCGTCCACCACCCTATTTGTGAACCAGTTTCTTCCTATCTCCCTCCTAAACCTAAACTTATCCAACTTAAATCCGTTGCTCCGAGTCCTATCCTGCTCGGATATTATAAGAACTTTATCTATATCCCCTTTATTGATTCCTTTCACCCACTTAAATACTTCTATCATATCTCCCCGCACTCTTCGTCTTTCTGGGGAATGCAAGTTTAATTTCTTTAATCTATCTTGATATGGAAGGTTTCTAAGCCCCGGAATCATTTTCGTCATTCTTCGCTGCACCTTCGCTGCACTTCGCTTCGCTTGATTGATATCCATTCTATAATAAGGGCACCAGAACTGAACAGCATAATCGAGGTGCGGCCTGACTAGCGCAAGATATAGTTGTGCACGCTTATCAACACACGTAATGGCAGATACATAATGAAATAATAAGAAAAGTCTTTGGGATATTTGACAAACTGAGTACGTCTGTTCTGGAGGTTGAGGTTGGTTCGACATCTACCCTGGACTAGGCCACTGGGAAACTGGGCTTCTCCTTGGAATGTGATGATGGGGTGACAGCCGTGTACTCCACCTGCAGAAGGCGACTGTCAGGAAGCCTTACGTAGAAGCTGTGGGAGGGGCGAGACTGTGCGTTGGAGGGAGGTGATAGTTACAAGGGTCTGGATTGAAGTATCTCTCTGCTAAGGAAATTAAACTCTCCTGACGGCTATTAAATGTCTGAACGTTTTCGTCTCTTGTAGCAACGTCAGAACACAGCGCTCATCTGTCTGAAAATGTTCGAATAACTTAAGATTTGTGTTTAAAGGAGATAATTACGTTATGAGTCATGGTATGTATAGTACTGCTACGATTTAACTGGAGAATACGATGACCTAATGAATGGCATAGAGTATATTATATATTTTTTATTAAAGCCACAAGATTATAATCATTTAATAAGATAATTTTAGTAGTAATGAGTAATATATGACTGAGAATTATAGCAGGACATTATAATCTATGTTATTTATCGTAAATAACTAAACCTTAGGAACTCTCAACTATAACTGGCACCGGTAAACGTAAACATTGACCTGACTGCCAATCACCTTTTACATATTGAGCATAATAACTGTTCACTACATCGTGTGTAAAGTCACGGTCATAACATGAGTCACACATTTAACTGTATCACTAATGTCCTTGTGTTTGTTAGTGTACGCTGTAATAACAACATCAGCTCGCTAAAATTGGCTTTTTCTGGAGATAACAATCGTGTTTTAGGTGTTTGGTGGCCTCAACCAGCACTATTATGTCTTAACCATATGCAATTGTCGATACAGTGAAAGATACAGAACAGGTGTACGGGTGATTAGTAATTACATTTTTTGTCACTTAAAGCGGGTAGCTAATTGTGTACCCCATACTCATCCTGTGAGCAGTAGCGCAAAAGGATCTCAGAGTTCACAAAGGGTCAGTATAACTAACCCCCGTGGTCAGGATATTATGGCACAGAATTTTTCAAAGTATTTAAAATAAAATCTTTTTTAGTTCTGCACATAGAGAGTAATTTATTCACAACTGCGTGAGTACAGGAGTGTGAGGCAGTATGTCTGGCCGCACACTTTGTTATTCATCTTTGCGTGAGAGGTATTCAAGCACATTGTATGTTTGGTTCTATATATGGGAACTAATATAGTTACTGTGTGCAGAAAAGTAGATACAATCTTATTATGTCGGCTATCTTGCCAGTAAAGTTAAAGTGTTGTGCTATTTCACACAGTGTGCTAGGACCTGTCCCTAAGAGGTTCTCTCTTCACACAGTCGAGGACGTAGTGTTCGGGTGTGTGGCCATGTATTTTAGCTCATATTAATTACCTATTGCACTCTCAGAGATAACCCAACCTTCTCCCATTAAAACCTTGCCTTGTAGTATATGTATAGGTTTTAATACAGTAAGTAACGCACCCTATAAATACAGTTCCCGGGTACAGTATGATCCAGAGTCTAATTCTTTCTTATAATCAATCAGGCTCATAATGGTGTTGGGATCGGCTGTGTCATTGCCTTTATAAGTTTAATCTAAAGGGCAGACAAGACAGTGTACTGCACAGCTTCCTCCTGGGGCAATATGGACACTTAATATCTGGGTCACTAAAAAGGAATATTTATAGAAATATTTATTGCCGTGGTATTTATTACTCCGGTATAAAAATATTGTTTTTAAAACAAATTAACAAATCAAGACCTGCATGACTCTTAAATACAAAAATACAACAAAATACTACGAGGCAACAGGAGGTGAAGAGCACCCGCCATGGTACAATAGTTTCACGTCTGACTGAACACAGAAGACCCTGTACCTTCTCCCTCAACAGTTATTGTTTCAGAGAGAAAATAAACAACGGAGACGATATACAACA